TCCCCCTCCCGGAAAACCGGGAACGAGCGCTTCCCCTCCCAGATCCCGCGGTCTCCCAACTCCGGGGATGAGACGAAGGAGAACGAGGCTTTTCCAGGGAAAACGGGGATTCCCAGGAGGTTGGAGATCTCCCCGCTCCAGGGGGAACATCCCGGGAAACCATCCCTGAAAACCTCCTCCCAGCCCCACGTGCCCGTGGGCTCTTTTTACGGGAAAGGGAAGCACTACCTGGATCCCGTGGAGAGGAGGAAGCTCCAGGAGATCCAGGTTTTGGGAACGAGGAGCGGGGACGGGAACGCGGCTCCGGGCAGGACGGAGAAGAGCAGTGGGAATCGGGGCGGGAATCGGGGCGGGAATCCCAAACCCAAGGCGGCCAAACCCGCCCCGAATCCCAAAGGTGGCCGGGGCTTCCCGAAGAAACCCAAGGCGGAGATCCCGGCGGGAAAGGCGGAGAGGGAAACCGGGAACCGCCTCGTCCGGAAAAAGCTGGATTCTCCCTTCCGGGTGCTGAGCATGAGGGTGAAACCCGCCCTGAAGCTCCGGCTGGGAGCGGCTTTTTTCGCCGCCGGGAAGAGATCCCACTCCAGGAAAAACCCCGGAGACTCCAGGGCCATCCAGGCCCTTCCCAAATCCCCGGGTGGAGGAGAAAACCCCCCGGAGGAGGAGGAGGAGGAGGAGAGGGGGGCGAGGGGAAGGATTCCCGAGCCCCCCCGGGAGGAGGGCAGGGAGAACAGGGAGAGCCCCGGGAATCCGGGAGAGCCGGGACACGGAGGGGAAGCGTCTCCACGGAAAACTGGGAATGCGTCCCGCGCTTCCGGAGCGGAGGGAGTCGGGGTAAGTCCGGGAGTTGCTGGGATTAAACCAGCTGCCCCTAACTGCAAACATCCCTGGATTCTCCCCTCCTGCCTTGCCTTGGGAAGGTGTAAAACCGGGATAAACAGCGGGAATTCTCATCTCTCGGCGCCGGGAAATATTCCAGCGCTCGTGGCCGGAAGGGAAAGCTCCCAGCTCTCCTTGTTTTTCCAAGGAAAACAACTTTGTCTCATCCCCCCTGTTTCTTGTTTTTATTTTTCCCTGTGGGGGAAAAAA